ATCTCTCAGCCTTCCTCCAGCATGTACTTGCCTTCTATTCTTTGTCAGATATAAGGTGCCCACAGACAACTTTCTATAGCCATAAAACCACATGACAGCAAGAGTAACACTATCTAAAAAACTGGGCTTATTTTCCATGGAAATTCAACTTCTTTGCTCAGCATACCACATTTACTCTTAGATTTCTGTTGTCAATCAAGTGTGTGGGTTGTATTAATTCAAGATATCTTACAATACATCCTTACAATGCTTGAGATAGGGAGTCTTTCATCACTGCTCTATTTCACAAACTACTCAAGTCTCCCCTTGACTTCCAAAATATAAAAACCCCAATAAACAAATACCCTATGGCACAGACGAGCTTGGGTTCCTCTAACATGGACCAACCCTTTCAAATCTTCTTGCTTCACACCTGTCAATCTCCTTCCTACACGAGTAACGTTCATTCTTCTAACCTCTCCCTGTAGCACATGGGCAGGACATGTACAAGTGTACTAGCCAGAGTGCACACAGGGGATTAAGTACATCACAGTGAAATATCACACTGTCTCTTCAGAAATGCTGACCAAAATCTTACATCTCATTCATTATAAAAGTCATGGAGATTTGTTAATTAAGTATTTTGATTGCAGGGGTGTTAGAGAAGCAGGACCAGAATGAGTGCTGTAAGGAAGCACACAGAGAGTGCCAGGGCAGTGCTGGTTGCTGGGCCTTTCAACACCTGGATGTCACATCTGTTCCACACATCCTTTACTGAACTGGAGGGCCTGGAGAATTAAAGTTAACAGAGCCCCTGGAAGGCTGATGTGAGAAGTGAAGGTGCACTAGGACACAAGTGAAAACAAGTTCCAACTTTGTGGAGGAGTGAAGCCAAACTAAAGGAATCTATACAAAGATGAAAATTCAACTACAGATTCAAGAAAGTTTTAGATCTGAGCTTCCGGTTTTGTTAACAATATGGTGTCTTGGCTTTACTTGTTTGTGTGGTAGAAAATCTGTTCTGTGTTTTCATGGGTGACAAAGTTAAAAGGAAATATATGACATGACAATTTTTCTTCTTGATTTTATATAGGTAGCATGAATACAATCACTGTTGTCTGGGAAACAGGCAAAGAAAAATGAATCCAATTCAATGAGGTGGCTGCATGATCACAACACTCACACAATATTCCTATATATATGCAAATATATGTACACATTGATGCTTACCAAGGCATAAGCCGTCCAATTTTTGTCCATCTACTTTTGCTAATAAAAAAGCCAGCAACAGGATCAGTAACTGCACCTGAGGCTTTGCCAATGAACAGCACCAAAGAGGCATGAAATGGAGTTATCTGAAAGTACAGATAGAATACTGTAAACAATAGCCATTGCTTCACAACACAATAAAACAGCATAAAGCAACTTTCCAGAAAAAAACAGAAGTGTTTTAAAGAATAATGAGAGTTCATTTACAAAACAGTCTGCTGCTGTCATACAAATTACTATTGATTATCCATAGCAAGCAAGTAAGACATTAGGACAGGCACCATGCAAGAAGGGATTAGAAGGGAAAAGTGCAAGGAAGGACAGATTATGAATGGGTTTAGAACAAGGAAAATGAGTCAGATAGTCAAATAGTAGACTAAAGTCCTAGTTTAAGTCAAGAAACCTGTCAGAGTCCCTCTGTCATTATCCCCTCACCTTGTTCTCCACACAGCCTGATTTCCCCATGTGTTTATCTTGACCTAATCTAAACAAAATCAGAGGGAGCTATTCACATGCATACATGTTTTTCCATCTCCTGAGATTACCAACAAGGCTGCCAACTGATGGCATGTGGCTGTGGCAGAGGTGGTAGCACAGCAGACTTTATCCTCTTAGAAATGAACTGTGACAACCAAACTGCATAAGGCACATCTGTTCAAGTCTAAGTTGCCAGCACATGTCCAGCAAATCTCACTTGAAAAATGTTCACAGGTTACGTAAGAATAAAATGGCCAAGTAGAAAAACCTCTGAAGTTAACCCAGGAGGATCATACTTGTGGCTATATAGAAACAGAGTTTATCCCAGGCAATGTAGTTATTTTTCCTATATATCTGTAGACAGCTTAGGAACTCATACCATACGATAGTTAAAAGGGTGGGTTCTCTTCCAAGCATTCAGTTTGTGCCACTGAAACTACAGGCCTGAAAAGTGTCATTGAGAACTATATAAATATGAATGTCCCTCAAATCAACTAATCAGAGAGACTGCTGAAACATCCTATGCATCTTAAACAGTGACAGACAAACCCTCTTCATCTATATGCTTCTTCATGCTATCAGTACTCTGACGCAGCAGGAAGCCTGGTGAATGTCGCTGATAGAACACCAAGCTTGACCTAGAATCTCCTGCTTTTCCATGAAGCTTACTGCCTCCTAGGCAGCACCACAGAGCTTCCAGCTAGTGCAGGTCCCTGTGTGCAGGATTTGCTGTAGGTATTCCCTCAGAGGTGAAAGAAGAAAGCAATAATCTCTGAATGTCCTGCATGGCCTTTATAAAAGGCAGGTGCTATGTGCTTTTGTAATCACACCTGTTAAATTTGAGCCTAAACTAGCTGACATTGTAGGGGCAGCCAAACTTCCTGACACCACCAGATCCAATATGCACACTCTGCACTGGAAAGCTTATGAATAAGGAAGGATTGGGAACGGTAGCCTCCAGCAGGTAAATGACAGTGCCCATCTGAGCATCCTATTGCTGCAGTGTAGGACAGCACCGGGATGAGCACTGGGCTGTGTCCCACAGCAGTTTACTGAGGTTCATCTCATCCACCTTTTCCAACCCCCCTGCCATGGGCAGGGACACCTTCTGGTAGATCAGATTGCTCAAAGCCCCATCTGACCTGGCCTTGGACACTTCCAGGGGTGGAAGCGTTGCCATTTTTATCAAGTAAGTCACACCTCAGCTTCTGATATCAGACTTTTATAGGAAAACCATAAAGCAAATCTTTTGGACACCTCCGCTCCCCAAGTCACAATATCCTGTCTTTCTACATCTTAAACAGCAAAATGGATAACAATATCTGATCCAGAACCTCTCATTCTTTACAGTAAATAGTGTCATCAGTGCTGAAAGCCACTCATGTAGTTTCAGCTACAGCTGTTCTCACTGTCCCTGCAAGTTGGTCTCATGTCCCCAGAATCCTTTTTTCTATCCTATGTTATTGTTTAATAAATAATAAATTAAAAAGTTATTTATTAAACAATAAATATATATTGTTCATATAGTTATAATGCAGACATACACGACAATCCAAAACAGTAAAAAATGCTTATGGATTGATTTTCTTTCTCTTCTATCCTGAAATCTAGCTGGAGCAGCTGAAAGTCAGATGAATGGGATGACTCCTACTGCTTTGTTTTACCAGGTCTGCTTCTGCACAAGAAAGCCACAAACTCCAAGAACCTCCAGGAAAGATAACTCAGCTTTCTTTGCAAAGAAATTATCTTAGACATACCAAAAGAAATTTATGTGAAATTATGTTGGCTACTGGATGCAACTGCAGTGATTTTTAACTAAATCAAATTTGCAAAACTTCACAACCTCAACATGATGCTGTTAATGTTTCGGATGTCTCATATATTACACTGACTCTTGACAAAGAGAACTGCTTATTCTCATGTTTGCAAGTGTGTGAGCTCTGTTGTGCCTAAAGCTCTACTAATGATCCCAAACTAAAAGAAAGTAATGGCCAGTTCATGACAGAAAGGAAATTAGTGAAAAAGAGAAAAAGAAATGTATTTCTCTACAAGTTTATGCAGTTTCCAGGATGCTGAACAGCTAGAGGCAAAAATACAAAAACAATTTAAAAGCCTTAATAGCTAGTTCACCTTTTATCATTCCAGCAACATTGTTGACAACATCAGAACTGAGGTAAGTCTACAATATATCAAGGTTTCTTGTACTACTTACGTGGGCTATATCTAGCAGGTAGATCTGGAGGAAGAAAGCAGCAGCACTCCCTGCCACTTTATTTGGGGCACCTCCTATTGCATAGCATATTTTGCTGCAAATTGAGAGCCTGTAATCCTGTTTGAGATGAAGCAGAACAAATGGTAAGAAAAAACAAGGCACATGAGTTAAAAGCTACAGAAGTTAAAAGGTTAAAGTCTGTAGTTAACTACAAATTCATGTATTCGCTTCACAGGTATTCCACTAATAAATCCATACGTCCTCAACCCCTATCATCAACAGGCATTTGGATGCTCATTGCTTAGCTTTTTAATGGGTTTCTTCCTTAATTCAGTGCCTAAAAACAGATTAGTGTTCCTACAAGGGAATCTAGGCTTACCTACCTTATTCTCACAAGCGATTAAAAAGAAACAAGTCTACAAACAAGCAAGAAGCAAAGATGCGCATATACTGTTACACTATATTCTGAGCTTAGTTTTGTCTTTGGCTGTTTAAATCAGTTTTTGCTAAAGACTTTTTTTACATTTAAAAAAATTAATTTCTTATATTAATCTCTCAGACCATAATAACTGATATGCACTCTCATAATTAGACAATATTCATAGAAGGGAACTTCCACAGTCAAATGCAGACTGAATAGATCCCAAATATTTGTACTCTGTTCCTTCCTAGAATCAGAATGCTTTGGGTTGAAAGGGACCTTAAAGCTCACCCAGTTCCAAACCCCTGCCATGGGCACGGACATCTTCCACTAGAGCAGGTTGCTCCAAGCCCCTGTGTCCAACCTGGCCTTGAACACTGCCAGGGATGGGGCAGCCACAGCTTCTCTGGGCAACCTGTGCCAGGGCCTCACCAGCCTCACCATAAAGATTTCTTCCTTATATCCCTCTTTCAGTTTATAAACCACTGCCCCTTGTCCTTTCAATAGCTAAGGTCAGGATAACACAGAAAAAGTAAATGCCTCTATATACAGCGTACACAATTCCAAAATATGTTTATAACACAAAGAATGTTAAGTTTTTAAGAATTACCTTTATTAAAGTTGTGGTACAAGAAACAGTCAACTAAGATCTAAACTTACAGGCTGTAGGCAGCACTCCTGTCTTCACACCAGTTTCATGATTAGAAAATTTACAATCTTAATACATCTTTCAAAAAGCCACACACCCCCAGGATGCTGCTCAACTACCTTCTGAATCACATTCTCAGATCACCTTAAAGTTAATACTTTGGTCATAGCAGTAAGTGAGTAGGTAAGTTTTCACTAATTTTGTTTATGAACGTTATTTACAGGCTCAAATAAGCTATCAGATAACACAGACTACAGAGGCGTTGTGTTGTCAGGCACAGAAATGCAGGATAGTTCATGAACTTCCTAAAATGGAGGTTACATCCTGATCACTGTTCAATGCCTGTTTTCTTTTTATTTTGCCTAATTACTTTTGGAACTCATTCGGATATTACGTCATAAAGCACCATGGCAGTTCTATGCATGATTGATAGATACCATGAGAGGAAATGTTACTGCATTCGCTGCAGATCCTCTGCCTAGCAATATAACTGAATGCCCCCGAGTTTCTATCTGCTGAAGAATAATCATTCAGAGACTACATTCTGGTGTCACTTTCCAAAAGCAGCAGCCCATAATCTATTTTGACTCTCCACATTGAAGTTATATGGGAATCACTATGTCTTCTACCTCAGTATCCTATGAGACAGTGGTAAAAATTAAGGTAGGTCTCTGTACCAGTGAAGCTGGTACATTTCCTTCTTTTTAGCTTCCTGGGCTTACATGTAAGAGTAGAAAAGATACACGTGGCAGCTGTCCATTACAGATCTAGAGGATTCAGCCCCCAGCCTTGGTTGGTTTTACATGATATTGCTAATAAATGACACCAGAAACTGTCTTGAGATGGATAGCATCACATCTGTGCAGAGCAGCGTGGTCACTGGCAGTCACTAGCCATGAGCAGCTAACAGGGTTTTTCTCTTAAGGTTGAACTTCCCTGCTGCATTGCTTCCTCACGCAACGGAAATTGCTCGATTTCTGTGAAATCCAGTGAAAGCTTTTTCACTTGTGTAAGTTTGACAGTAAGTACTCAGAAATTCATTGAAGATCTTAAAGTGTAGGCAGCGGTCAACTAAGGAACAAAATACGAAGTATTTACAATGTAAATTTTGTTTTGAGACCCCTGTGTTGTAGTTGAATGTTAACATCAAACTGCTTCTACAAGCTTTAGAAGAAACATGAAAGGAGAGAGTGGGAGGTAAGAGAAAGTAAGGTCAAATTAAATTATTATCTTTTTTTGTTCTCAGATTAACTTGACAGTTTTGTACTTCTACTTGCCCCCATCATATCAAAGTTAATTGTGTTTTAAGGTAAACCAAGAAAGCACAACAGTCAGGACGTTTGATTTTGCTCTTAAATAGACCAGTAAGTTTAAACATTGTAATAGAAAATTAATGCATCTCATAGACTGTGGTTTCCTTATTTTTAATTGTCTTGTAAGTTAAAGCCATATTTTTGTTGCCTGTAAATGTTCCCTTCCCCAACAGAACATAAATTGAATACAGTGGTTATAACATACTATCTTATTTCTAAAGAAAGTATTTAAGCACATTGAAAGCAACTCTTTGCAACTGTGTGAACTCATTGCATGCACATTATGGGCATAGGGAACAGCCCTATTTTGTCCTAAGCTATTATCAGTTGAGTCCAGAACTGAACCAACAAGTAATTTTAAAGCAGTAGAAGAGAGAGCAGAAGAGAGAGCAAAACCTGTGACTCACAGATAAACGCTAGTCTAGGTTTATCTGAGAAACAATGAAAACATAGCTAACGAGGAGCAGCTTTGGAGTCAGCTTTTCTCTCAGTGTAGAATTAACACTGGTAATGTTTCTGTTCTGTGAGTGACCATGCAACTAACTTGCCTCAACTCTGTGTGTGACAGTCACAGGCAGCACCCCGGGTCCCTCATACCAAGTATCTTGAGGACTGTTCAGGTTTCTTAGTGACATCAGCCCACCCCTGAGTAGAAGAAATGACAGGAGCAGGGCTTGGGTGTAGACTCCTATAAAGGGCATGAACAAGGCAGGATAGAGTGGTTCTTTCCCAGGATACTCTTCCGGCTGCCAGAAACCTAGCACTGAGGAGCTCTGTGAGCCAAAGATGGCATATCTCTGTTTAAAAACCTTCAGATTTCTCCCATGAATTCACTCTCTGAGACTTTCTGAACACAAAAATTCAAGCCAGAACAACGTGTGCCCACAGGGTCTGATGAGCTCCATGGCTTGAATGCCCTCCACCACATTGTTAGGTTACCTCAGTCCCTCTGTTTTGAAGCTGCCCCTTCCCAGTTTGACCAGATGCCCCCTCAAGAGCCGCGGAGTGAGGGGGGGTCCTCACTCACCTCTCACCTGCCTCTCCATTCCTGTCTCGGCAAGCACCGAGCCTGAAGAGGAAGCATTTAGATACTCTCTTACTCGCAACACACATCTGCAAGTTCCGAGTTGATGAGGCTGCCTGAGGAGAGCGACCCCCTCCCGCCCGAATGCACCCCATCCGCCTTGATTGGAGACACGGCCCCGGAGGGAAATGAGCTTTATCCTGCCACCGAGAGAGACAGTAAGTATCACACAGTGCACTTGAGGGACAATACCAGAGTTACACGGAGCTGTCTGGTGAGAAAGAAGGGTGGTGGTAAGGGCTGAAGAGCTATTTCAGGTACCCGGCTGAGACATGCTGCGCCGCG